AGTTTCGCGGCGGCCACCTCCAGTTAACCTCCTTCTCACATCTGGCCTCTCTGCCGCGAATGAGCCAGTTTCATATCAGGATACTAACGAGCTCCCCCCCCCCCCCCCCCCCCACCTCCGGAGAAGCTCACACAGGCCACCCCTGACCTCTGAGGAGTTGAACGCACGGCGGCGTTCGGCTGGCACGCACGGAGAGGTACGTCCCATGCTAGTTGGCAGTGGGAGCGCTCCTTCGTGACGGGTGAGGAGCTCTAGTTAGAGTTGCTGGCACCCACACATGGATTATGTGATGCATTAGTCCGTCACGTGACGTGACGTAACCGCTCTGGTGCGGCAGGACCTGTTCATCCGGCGTGACATCGCGGTTCCAGTCTCATCAATGACCACTCGTGGAATTCGGTAAACGAACACGCCCGAGTCGAAACATCACGTCCGTTCCAAAGCGGTTTGAACGCTCCCCTGACCCGTTTTGCTCTTCTGGAGACTTCGTGTTCTGTGACAAAGAAATGGTGCTGGATGGCTGCATCGGGCAGGCAATGCCAGCGCCTATGGTCATTTTTACGTAGCATATCGATGGCGTCTTTTTACATTACCAACTCAAAATAACCGGTTATCGTGAATTACAAAGGACGACCACTGCACCGTTTCCTTGTGCGACAGGATGGTTGCTGCCTGTGGTGGCGCCAGTTTTCCCGGGCTGATTCAGAGCCGGTGCTGAGTTGGTGCGTCGTCACTGGCCCAAGACATCTGGAGTCATCGGTCCACTTTTTGGCCTCTTTCAGACTGGCTCGTACAATGCGATAGCCGGATGTCCCGATTTTCCATACCAGGCGTGGCCGCGTTTATGTTATGTCACTTTTTATTCGGCTCAAAGCGCCAGGTACAGCTTCCGCCTGGGTGAGGATTGGCCAGTTCGGTTTCAGTCCTAGCTCACTGCGCCTGCGTGCTGTGGTCGGGCCGGACCGGTCTAAACCGCCTGTGACCGGACAGTGCAGGTTCAGCCTGACATGACCGGACGGACGGAAGTGGCTCGGCCCGTCGTCAGTGGACGCCGCGAAGTGGCTGCAGCGTATTCCCGGCTCCTGACTGGCTGTGCCGGTACGCCGCGGCTGCCGGCGGACCGGGGGCCGCCTGTGCCGGACCGCCGCGGGCCCGGGTGCCTTCCGCGAGTCCCGGCGCTCCGCCAGTGTCGCTCGGGCACGGCGAACCTTTGACAGGGGTCAAGGGAAGAGCTTGTTTGTCCTTTTCATAAACCGGAAGTGCGTCCGGCTGAGAAGAAAAAAACGGAGCAAGTCACGGAATTGGACCGTACCGGGCCACACGTTTGAAAAGGCTTTTGGGTTATGCTTTTCTCGGGTGTATCGTAGGATGCCTGCCACCATCCTCATGTCATTGGGGCTTTGTGACGCACTCAGCTGCTGAGGCTATATGGCGTATATACATGGCTATAGCTATATATGGCTATATGAGGCTTGCCTCTCACCCTGACAGGAAGGGCGGGTGCCGCGGGGAATCGAACCTCGCACTACACTACCGGCGCCTCCCCTCACTCCGTCACTACTGTCATGCGAAACCGTCCGTTAGTCATTCACTCAGTGTCTGCGTCCCCCCCCCTTCCCCCCTGCATCTCCCAGCCCCTGGATCATCGATAACGGCTCGCGATCTGGGGCTCTCAAATCGGCCGGCGGGCGCTGGCGTCGGCGGTGAAGTCTGACAGGCGGTGTCGGTGGAGGGGGGGGGGGGGGGGAGGGGGGCAGACAGCGCCGACGGGAATTGATCGGTGATGCGGTGTGGCACCAAAACGGAGCGTTGCGTCAGTGAGGACCTGGCGCTGGCGCTGGAGGGAAGGCCGCGAGCTCATCGGCCCCAAACAGCGATGTGGTTTCCGGGGAACGCTAGCAGGATTTGCGGCCACGATTGCGAATTTGCGACTTCGGAACGTCACCGTGTGCGCAGCGCCACCTCGAAGAGGCGAGCTGCGCGCAGTGGGAGGGGTTTTGCGGGCCGCGTCTGGGACGTTTGCATATTGGCGGCCTTTGGTTCAGACGCGGATCAAGGCATTGTGTTTACGGGCTAGCTCTTTTCGACGCTGGAGTTTTTAGATTGGTTATGGTGCTGGTTCCAATGCTGGGTAATTTGTCCCGAGTGGTGGCGTTTTTGGGCCTTCTGCTCCTCCACATATGACTGGGTCGGGGACGTTTGATCTCCGGATGCAAGGTCGCCACTGTTCAGAGGGAGATACGCCGCCGGACGGCCCTCACTGGCCGTGGCGACGGACGGATGTGGCGACGCCCGGCTAGACGCTGTCAAGGCTTGCCTGTGACCGCGGTGTCGGCTGGCTGGCGCTGGCCGCCTGTGGCCGCGGTCTCGGGTCTCCGGGCGCTCTTTGGCTGGCAGCGCGACTGTGCCCCCCCCCCCCCCCATCCGTCCCTGCGCTCCCACGGCCGCCCCCGCGCCCCCAGCGCCCCCACGCCCCACGCCCTGGCCGCCATCTTCGGCCGTCGTCTGCGACAGCGAGCCAGTGGAGCTTATCTCGGCTGGGCGGGTCGTTCTCTCCAGTGATGCTCTCATATCCCGATTGGACGGCTCGTCGCGTCGCTCTCCATGGCTTGTGACGGCCACCCGTTCTCATATGTCACGTCCATTCTACAGCAGTCTGTCTCGCTCGATACTTACCTCGTCACCAAGTACTATTGTGTCTGTCTTCTTGCCTCCACCCTTACCTCCTACTTGCCGCATGATGCCCTATCCAGGGGTAGCGGTAGGCAGCAAACGACCTGAATGACAGATGTGTGAATGCCATAGTGTATGCAGATATGGTGACGTCTATTGACTATGGTGCATCGCACTCCAGTATGCTACCCACGAGCCCTCCAGCAAGTACGTGTGGGTAGCCATCAATCCGACATCATCTGCGGTAGTCAACTGTTCGACATTGCGCCCGTCCTTCGCTTGGATGCTGCTCGCGTACATTACCAGACCAGGTTATGTTTCACATCAACGTTCGGCTGGATCCATAAACATTACTCAGTTGCTAGTGCATTTGCGAGGAACATTATGCACCTAGATAAGACAGAAGTAGTAGCCTTATTCCTCGGAGAAAAACCAGGAGGATGGACCTATAGATGCGTTGATATTTTGGCAACATGCCTTTATCGAAACGAAAAGCAGAAGTGAATTGGTTTTCTGAAATATCAATGCATCCATATCTTCATTATCCTGGCTTTTCTCCGAGGAATGAGGTTATTGCTACTGTTGGATCCATAACATTATGAATTTGTGATGCTGCATGTTGGCTCCACTCCCTTCCCTTCCTCCTCCGCCTGTGTTCTTCTCTACAGATGTGTCAGCTGATTAAGTGACATTTGAGGGACACTGATGACTGCTGTAATACAGTGAGGTAATATACTAACGTCATTTTGCTTGAACCTGGAACACGGTCATACGGAACTGCATTGTTTTAAAAAGAGATGTTCTGTTAGGCTTTCATGATGGCCGTGGTACGAGAAATTGGATGAAAGACTCGAAATTTGATTCGGCTTCAGCAGAGTTTACCACGAATCCGTCTGACACGCAACGGGGTCTATTCTGACACCGACTCACACGCACAGGGTCGATTCTGACACCGACCTCGATGTGCGCAGCAGCGACTTCTATGCGCTAGTGAAATTACGTGACCACGGAATGGCAGACTATGTGGGGTCAGCAGAGCAGCCAGGACAAACTAAAAGCCTTTAAACCTGGGATACCCTGGTCGTCCGTCATTCAAGCCGGGACGTTGTTGTCTCTTGAAGCAAGCATTCCATATCTACCGAATAACTCTACCAACGAAAAATGAACGCGCCTGTTGCATTGTGCACTTCGTGACACTCCACGATAAGCCAAATGCTGTCGGTAATATGAACTGCGTCAGGGTCATGGCATATGACTTGACATTGGCCATCAGTGTACCATATTTTGGACTTGTTTCCTCGAACTATGTACAAATTAGGACAAAATACATTGTGCCCCCCCCCCATGCTCTTGCGTTGAGGAGCAATGTGTCCCAATGTTTTCTTAAAGCGGAGATTGCAAAGGCCAGTACGTATTATTTAGTATGACGTATTCGTCATACTTCTTACGTGACCACCATCCACTGGAATCCCTGCAAAATTAACTCGGTGGGTTGATGGCTTTGGGATGAAAGCTGGGGAGAACATAACATTTTCGTCATCCACGCGCCCAACTTAAAATTGAGTGGCCGCTGGACCAATTTTCTTTAAAGTAACAGCGCCCCAAGTCAGATATACAGTTTTGAGGCCAATCCGAAACTGACGACCTTATACCACTACTTACATGTTCATAAACCGCATAAGACACTTTTGGTATCGCAACAACGTCCAGCTTGGAAACTCGCCTCGTTGGTGGCTTCCAAACTTTGTGAATCGATTTCCCATCAACTCGCAACCTTTCGCCGTAGATTGGCAACGGTTAACTAGCTCGAAACCTTTGCTAATCTTTGGGCAGCCTTACTCTCGAGCGCGAACGTGACTACAACGTCCAAAGGGGCTTATATGGGTTTCTGAAAGTCAAGACGTTGACTTGAGGTCACCGGTTTCAGTCCAGCTGATGCAATCCTAGGCGCTCTGTCAAGTCGTAAAGGTTTTGAGGCGATGGCTCCTTTGATTTCGGAATTCGGATAACTATGCGCTAAGGTGATTTGTAATTTATTTTGGCTTTGAAATGGATGGTGGTTTGAGGTTACCAGCTCTAGATGATTTGCAGGTCAAGTCGTGGTCACGCACTCAATTCGCGAATGCTTCGAATCGATCGGTTAACCGTGCTCTGTGATGTCGTGTGTGGCATGTCACTGAACGCGCTCTGTCGCCGTGCGTGACATGTCACTGAACGCGCTCTGTCGCCGTGCGTGACATGTCACCGACCGCGCTGTGTTGCCGTGAGCGACCTGTTCTGGCCGTGCTCTGTCACCGCGCGTGACGTCCCGTTCTGGCCGTCCGCAGATGTGCAACGTGGAGTGACGCCCCCCAGCCACCAGACGCCATCCAGAAATGGCGGCCCGGCCGGCGGTGGTCACGTGCGCAGTGACGTCATTCGTACCGCCAGCTCAGGTGAGGTCAGGCGCCACATAGGCAGAGGTGCGCCCTCCTGCTCAACAGTGGCGTTAGGGCCCGGCGCGCGTCGGACGGCACTCAGTTTTGTGCTGAAGCAGTCAGCTGTTAACGCGGGAATGTGCGTGCTTCTTCCGCCACTCTCACCTCATAAATGTTGTAAGGACGGTAAAGTAACAGTGAGTGAAATTCCTTTTTGAATGTGACAGATGTGTTGAAGGATTTGCAGTATTAGTGCTATGTTGTCGTCCTTTGTTATTGTTAATATCATCACCGTTTCCGTATCCTTCAAAGGTGCGCAAAAGCCGGACATTAGTGGCGAAGAAGCTGTCGGGAGAGGGAGGGTGACGTGGCACGATTACGTCTCGCGCAAGTAGAATGAT